AAATATAACCCAACTCCTTTCAAGTCACCAAAAATTTCTGAATTTTTCTTCTGAAAATAAAGGGTAATCTCAAAAATTGATATCGCCCAAATGGCGTACCAAATGTGCAAACATCTGAACTAGCATCATCAAGAGCTACCTGCCAATAGCCATCTTTCATATCGAAGACAGAAAAATATTGCTTATTACTTAACTTTAAAGAAATGTCTTCTGTTTGGTATTGGAAAATGTTCTCGCTTTATTGCATTGTTCAGTGCTTTAGGATCTATGCAAAGTCTTAAATCACCTGATTTCTTCTCTACTATTACCAGGGGATAAACCCATTATGTAGGTTTATTTACTTTTCTTATTACACCTAGTGATTCTAATTCTGAAAGCTTATTTTTTAAACTCTCGTATAGTACTTGAGGTACTCTGCGGGGCGAACAAATCTTTGATCCTGCATTTTTATTAAGGGTGATATGATGAAGGCCTGGGAATTTGCCTAATTCCTCAAAAACATCTGGATATGTTTTGCAAACATCTTCAAAATTATTAAAATTCTTATTTATGTTGTCTAGCAGCAAGCAATCTTCAAGTCCTAGCAGTGAAACTTGATCATTATTTACAATTATATACTTTACATTAGCTTGTTTGTCATTAACACAAGTATTTAAGTTTACCTCACCTATAGGTTTAATTTTAAAACTGCCATAAGAAATTAATGTAATTCTAGTTTTATTCATGCTTGAATTTGTGTAAAGTTTTTCATAAACATTAACAGTATCTAATTTTAAATTAAAATCTTTGTTACCTATCTTTTACTGTATTTATCTAAAATTCTTCATCTTCATTATCTTTATTTTCATCTGCTTCTTTTACTTCATGTAACTTTCTGTTTTTCTTCTCATTTTCTTTGTTTTTATTTTTTTTAATTATACTTCTTTGTGCTTGTCTCATAACTTCTTCTTGAATAATTATTGTTTTCTTTTGCCAGGCACACTTTAGCAAATTGGTTCTTTCGCTGACACTTTGGATATGTTTTGTTGTACGCTGGGCATTTTCTTGGCTTAAGTTGTGATCCACAATATTTGCTGTCACTTCAGCTTGCAGGGCTTTAGATTGTTGTTTGCTTGTTTCTGTAGCTTTCCAGAAGTTTAGAGCTTTGTCAAGGCTTAAATTAGGCTCTCTTAGCAATCTTTCCTGTGTGTTTTTATTAAGTATTACAATGACTATTCTATCTCTTACCATGTCATCAGCATTAGAATATTCAGTCGTTTTGACAGCTTTCTTTAATTCAGTTAAGAAAGAATCAAAGTTTTGACTTTCTTTTTGTGTAATGCTATTAATCACAAACCCTTCAAATAAAATATTTTTCTTAGGTGAGCAATATGCCTCAAATTTCTTTATGACATTTTGAAGTACGTTTTGGTCCTCATTTTCAGCAAACGTGAAAGTGTTATATAATTCTAAACCGTCATCACCACCAAGGCTGAGAAATACTGCAATTTCCTTGCTTTCCGTCTTGCTGCTCAAATCGGTTGCTTCATGGTATGAATTACTGTGGATAAAGAACTCAGAATACCGTTACGGTTAAAAATACTGCAAAAGTAAAAATGATATCATAATGATAATGATAAATAATTGAATCCTTTATTCAAAACTTCTCCAGTTGTCTGCTACATTTCCCTCTAATGATAAGTTTTTGGGCGGATTCAAGAGTGCCTCCATGTTTATAATGAATAAACCTAGACTCCAATTTGTCCTATGGATTCCTCTTCTGAATATAATTTACCTTTTCTGTGCTTGTTTCTAACAAAATTGCACCTGACACCATGTATAATACTTTAGGCTTTTAACCTTTGATTAAAAGTATTGGCAAATTATACTCCATTAACTTTCAATATGTTGTTTATTAAAAGATGTACACTTTGATACGTTTACACTAGTCTTTGTTCATATCTATAATATGCAATTTAATGCCATGCATAACATTTTTATGGTTATATACTTAACCCTTAACTACTCGCGCCAATTTTAGTAACATAAGTGGTCGCGCGGTGCACTGTGTGCTCCGCTCCTTAAAATGGCTATATTGCTGAATGTTTTCAATTTTAATATTTATTTTGGTTATATTCCAATGAATAAACTCTATTTCTTTTAAAAACACAATATTTATTAAAAAATAAAACAAAAAGCAAATAACAAAAAAGTTATTACTTCTACTCAGAAAAGAAGAAATTAGAAGGAAATTTAGCCGTTCTTTTTTTAATTGTGTTTTCTTATAAAAATGTATACCTTAAAAACCATTATGTTTTAAATTCCATATTTTGTTGATTTAGAAATATTTTGCATTACAAAAATTGAAATTTAGTTACGTTTTAGTGAAGTATTTCTAAATCAATCTCAAGTTTTCTGTCCATAACTTTGAAATCAATAGTTTAAACTAAATATGCCGTCGACAGTGCATGGTAGACACATCAGTCATAGGTTACATGGAAAGGGCATTTAATTCCAAGAAAACGACAAAAAGTTATAGAGGTTTTAATAAAAACGGAGCACTTAGTGCACCTGCGCGACTAGTTAAGGGTTAATAAGTATTACTTATACGCAAAAATATTATATTCTTAATTTAAATCAAATGTAAGTTTACTTGTGTTTATTTTTAAATAAAATCTATTACCTTTTTTAAATGAATATATTAATTTATTTTAAGTAAACCTTAATATTTAAAAGAGTATAATTTCTAAATTTAAATACAAGAAAATTTTATTGAAGTAATTATTCTTAATATTAATAGATAAATTAAACAAATTTTTTGTATATTCCATGTTATAAAAATTATACTAAACTTATTTCAAATATACAAATCCAAAACAATCGTTATTTTAAAATTACAGAATTATTTTTTGTGTGCAGTTCTCTTTGTTTTAAATGAATTTCTATTTTAATAGTATTTGTTTTCAATAAATTACTTAGTAGGGGAGACCGGGGTACCGGGGCAGAACGGTGTTTTATTTAAATTTCCCGCTGCAGACGATCGATAGTACTATCGTCCCTGTAATGACAAACGGGTTACTACAAACGTTTTAGTGTGTTTTGTACTAAACGTAATGAAATTGTGTTTAGTTTTATAACTTTTCGATATATATATTGTATATACCCATTTTCAGCTTCATTTGAGGGTTGGATTTTATGCACAAAGTGCCAAAAGTGGGCTCACAATTCGTGTGCGGGGATAGAGAGTGATGACAACGATGCAGAACTTGTATCTGAATTGTGTAAGCCCGATAATCCCATTCTGCCCCGTAGGCGCGGCGGAATGAAGTAAAGGACACTTTTGTTTAATACGATAATAAAAAAAATTGTTAAGCATTTATGTTAATTTTTCTTTTGTTTATAATACTTTAATAAATAGTTCTGCTTTGTTTTGAATTTGTACCACGTCTCTATCCTATTAAAAATAATTTTTAAACGTTAGAGTCCACATTCTGCCCCGGTCTCCCCTACATATTGTTCTGTTGATTTTTATAGAATATGAACTCATGTATTGTCCACTGCTTTAGTAAAAAATATTCGTTAACAGCAATAAAAATCCATAACTTTGGTTGCAAAACAATGTAATACAATAGGCGTAAGTTAATCCGATCGGCCTCCTGACGTCACAGTTTTGATGCAGAAGTGGGGGCTACACTCTCGCCTGGTAAAGAGAACACCGTGCATGACGGTCATGCCATGACCTCACTGTATTAGAAAAGCCCTAAATAAAAAATTAAAAGATCGAATCAAAAAATATACAGAAAAACAGATTTTTTTATTATTATTGATGATTATCCTTTAACGTTCCTATAGAATAGAAATATAAACTTTCAATTTCAGCCATGTGAGTACGTTTTAGCCAATTAAAACATTATTAAACATGGTAGAAATAATGTACTCTAACAATTGAAAGTAATTCTTCAGATCTTTTCTGTCAAATTATTTTCAAAATATTTTTACTTCCTTGTAATATAACTATTAATAATGGAACATATTTTTCTCTAAAATTGTGTCTATAAATGATTTATTTATACTTAAAGTAAATAAACAATGTATTATTCCATATTTTTTGATGGACAAATTGGACACTAAATAGTGCATAAACTAGAAGATAATTCTAATTTTAAAACACTGAATCAAAAACATACAAGATAAGTAAGTGTTTTATATTTAGAATCCTTAATGTGCTCATAAATTCTAGTAAATTAATTGTTTAGTAATGTAACGGAAACGTCATGAAAAGCTAAATTTATTATTTGAACGTAAAATCAAAACTTTCATTTTGCTTAAAAATGTTAAAGCGTATAGGTACTTGCCAATTAACAGTGTTATAATAATAAAACTACATTTTATGGGCAAAATATGTAAGTAAAAATTGACATAAGATAGGTCAGCAGTAGATAATATTCGATTATTTAAATGTATATTTATATTCAAAATATAAAAGGTTGCTTATGAGTGTTATTTAATATATTTACTTTAGAATAATTTGTTTTTTTGTGTAATTATTAAATGTATTCTTATTTTGGATATTATTCTTATTTTTGAGAATATGTATTTTTATTTTTTATTTGTAATATATGAAAAAGTGTAAATTCTCTGAATTAATAGGAATAAACTTTTACCTACTGACATTTGGGGGTGTAAACAATTGTTTACTATTTAAATAGTATTAAAATAAATTTATCTTTTAGTACAAAAAAATATAAAATATAATGTATAAAGGAATTTCTCTTAAAAAAGCTAATTCATTTTTTTTAACTTAAGTAATTGTGCAATGTCTTACTTAAAAATATTATAACAAATATAAATAATATTAGAAATGTATAAACAAATTAGCAATATTGGGCATACGTCAGGAAATACACACTGTTGATAAATTTATATAACTTTATTAAAGATTTAATTATATTTTTATCAGGTGCAAGAATTACTAAAACTAACATGATTTTTAAAATAAAAAAACAAATATCTTTTTTTTTAGGATGAAAGATAAAGAAACTCATTGTTGCAAATGTGGATGTCATGGAGCCCGGAAGTACTTTTTTGAGTATTGCGAAAACACAAGTATTCATGGAGTTAAATATTTTGCACAAAAGAGAACAAAATTGGAAGTGTAAGTAAAATTACCAAATTGTATGTTGTTAGATATACCATTTTTAGTGTGGACCTATATAGACCACTTTTGGTGTTGTTTTTTACGAGAAATTTTCTTCTGTGTACAAAGTATTCGTAAAATTTTAAGTACGAGTAGGTACTTAAAATGTTTACTCGTAAGTAAATTTGTAAAGAGAGGTTACGGTTACGAGTAGTTATCGTGAAAACACGAGTAAAGAGTACGAGTACTTTTGAAAAAAAATATTAGTTAATATAATTGAGTATTCTTTATACATTATACATACTTTGGTCCTGAGCTATAAAAATACAAATATAAATTTATAAATCTATTTATTTTATACATTAGGTACAGGGTGATACCCTATAATGTCGCCCCCCTTTAACTTTTTTATTTTAAGTGTCCTTTGGAGGACTGATAGACCAACTCATGACTAAGCAAAAAATCAAAATATGACCTTCGTAAAAAATCGTTAGTTTTTGAAATATATTCATTTTTAGGAATTTTGTAAAACTTGACACCTTAGATCCGTTTTTCGAGTGCTACAGCTACAAAATCTATAATGAATTTAATTTTGAATTGTAATTAATAGCAGTCCTATTTAGGGTTACGCAAAATAAAATATAATCTAAGAATATAGAATGTTGTAGTTGTGGCACTCGAAAAACTGATTTTATTTGTAAAGTTTCACAAAATTCATAAAAAGCCAATATCTTAAAAACTAATGATTTTTTACTAAGGTCATGTTTTGATATTCTGATTAGTCATGAGCTGACCTATTAGTCCTTCAAAGGATATCGTTGACTTCTGGGACACCCTGTATATAAATTTATTTTCTAAGCAAAAATCATATAACATACCATATACCTAATATGTCAACCATACCATATACCTATATTATAATATTTCAACCGTTTCTGAAATATTCGCATTTGAAACGTTGTCGATATATCATCAAATATTTTTGTACAAATCAAGAAGCCTTAGAATAACAAAATGTTTATTGTAAGTAAATGGCGAACTCGAGAAAGTATTTTTTAGTACGTACCATGCTCCTCACCTCAAAGTCCCACCACGTGACTACGTACGGAAAAATTTGGCATTTTAGGCTTTTCAGGTTATGTATCTGTCAAAGTATAGTCAACGAAAGAAATAATATTATGTTTAGGCGTTAAAAATGTATAAATCTTTATAAAATTACAATAACAATGGTTGGTTTAAGAATTTAGGAATATATGTACTGCTTTTAATGAAATTCTAAAGTGTATGGTGCCAAATAAGTAATATTTTTGTGCATTTGGTCCAAATATCTGATTTTCTCCATAAAATAATTTTAACTTAACAGAATTTATTTAAAAAAATCTAGCTTCTCTATTATGGAATAAGTATATTTGTTTTTAAGGTAGGTTAATATATTATAACAAAAATATCATCTAATTTTGTAATTTTTAGGTTAGAAAAATTTATTTTGACCAAAATAAATAAGTATTTTGGATTGTTTGAAAGACTGTTTAATATGGTATTTAAAAATGTGGTACTTTTTCTAATCCAGCTTAAAGTGTGCCTACATAAAGTTTTGTCAATATAAATAGTTATAAAGCATCGACTGAATTTGATCTACATCGAAAAATCATTATAACTTTAAAATTCTTAATAAATCACATGTCATGGGAGTATTCAATATTTTCACATTGCAAGTTTCTCTAAAAATTGTTTGTTTTCTTATAATTTAATAACTTAAAGTATGTATGCCGAGAGGTATGCACAAGTTTTGTCGTTGAAGTATAAAAGCTTCAATTTAATTTGAACCAAATTCAACAATTATTTAGTATACCTATATTTATTTATGACCATATTAACACACTCTTCCAAATAATCCACTTATTTATTTTGGTCAAAATAGATTTTTCTAACCTTAAAATACAAAAACCTACCTTTGATACAGATATTCTTATTCCATAATAGAAAAGTTAGATTTTTTTTAAATAAATGCGGTTTAGTTAAAACTATTTTATGGAGAAATGCACACCCAATGCAAAAAAAATATCAATTATTTGGCACCATACAGTTTAGAATTTCATTAAATGCAGTATTTATATTCCTAAATTCTACAATTTAAGCTTAAACCAACCATTGTTATTGTGATAATATAAAGATGTATTATCTTTTTCGTTAAAACGACTAAACATAAGCGGTAACACTATAAATATTATTTCTTTCATTGACTATACTTTGACAGATACATAACCTGAAAAGCCTTAAATGCCAAATTTTTAAAAGACTGCGTTCCCAAGCAGCATTTTTGGTTCCAAAAACCATTGCCGAAGTGGTGATAACTTTAAATTAGTTAAGTATACTAAACAGCTACTTTAATTTTTACTTAAAAGTAATTCTAACTTTTAAATAGCAATATTTTGTAACAGAAACTTAATTTTTTCTTAAATGGTTACTATAAAGTAATAAACATTTAAGTAAAACTTGGTTGCCCCCAAGAAGACTTTGCAACTTTAAAAAAGGTGTTATAAGTAAAAAAAACTTTCAAGTAAATTTAATTTGTAGCAGTTACTTTCGGTTGCTACCTAAAGATCACATTATAATTATTTTTACTTTGTAGTCCTTTTGCAAGTTAAAATCTCGAAACTGGAACATGAGTTAAAAACTACAAAGTTAATAACTCAAAAGTTATTATTTTAGTATTTGGAACGTTTATGGTACTAACCAAAACAACCGTAAAGTGGAAAAAAACTTTAAAGTACCGAAAACTACTTCAAAGGAAAATGCTTCTTATCGGCCATTTTTTACTGTACAGTACCAAGTGGTAATGTAAATAATAAATTATTTTAATTGTTTTTAAATGGTTGTTTACTTTTTAATAAATAGTAATTTTGTTGGTAATAGACGGTATTTAATAATTAAATAAAAAAATTAATAATAAATATTAAGATTTTTTTATTTATAAACATTATTAAATAAATAATTTGTTTATACTTAAATATTGATGAAGCGCATTTATTTTACAAAAACTAAATTCATAAGTTCAACAGTAAAATTTAAAGGGTTTATAAATTTACCTGCCTTATTAAACATTATATTGTTATTCTGGAAGTTATAAACTATCAGTACATATTTAATAAACGACGACATTGAAAAGCCAAGTCCGTAGTGGTTCCATTTAAAAAAGGAGGGATAGTATAAGCTAATATAAGTTTGACAAAGACAGTTAATATAGAAGTAAAAACAAATAAATAAAAGTAATTATAACGCTTTAGCAACGATATTGGAACGTTCTAGTAGAGGCTACGTTCCAAATAGAAGCAGGGTTTATAGCTAGTGACATATTTGTTACCTTTTTGGAACTCAATAATTGTTCCCCACTTTAGTCGTAACTTAGTAATGAAAGAGTAATATAAAGAGACCGGCGACTGTCGCAAAACACTTTAAAGTTTCTTCAATAGTCCCATATACGTAACAAATACTTAAATTGTTGCTTGGGTTCCGTACGTGGTCACGTGGTGGGACTTTAAGGTGTGGAGCATAGTACATAATTAACTACAATTTTAAATTTTAAAAGTAAAAAAAATCATAGGGGGGCGACATTATAGGGGATCACCCAGTACATAAAATAATAAATAAAAATAACAATTCTTAAATAGTTTGTAATTTTACCTATATACTTGTTATAAAACCTATAATAATAATAATAATAATAATAAGTTTATTGTAAAAAAAAGTACATTTCACAATTGGAAACAGTTCAGCTATGCTGATCTTCTCCTATGTATACAATACAATTAAACCAATACAAATAACAAAATTTAAATATTTTCTAAACATTATGCTACAGATTTGCCATTAATAATACGATTTCAACTAAAAAAAGGAAAAGAACAAAATTTTCAAATTCAATACAAACAAAATGGTTTAAATAATTTAAGGCTATAATATATTATAATATATATATATATATATATATATATATATATATATATATATATATATATATATATATATATATATATATATATATATATATATATATATATATAGTTATATATATAGTTTGTCACGCATAGTTATATATATATATATATATAGTTTGTCACGCCGTGTTTTTTAAACCATTGCTTTGACCGTTTAATTCGACTGAAATAATGAATTTCAATATGCAAATCATTATACATTCTGTGCTGCGCTATGGAGGATTTTCTACAGTATTTATTATTGGAGGTAGAATTTTGCAGATGAAGAAGACGAGTTGCTGATGGAGTTATTAAAAAATGAAGAACCGGACAACATTTTTAAAACAAGAAAATCAGAAAGAACTTATGAAGTACTAATTAAGGGACACTTATCAAAAAATTAAGCAAAATTTCACTAAATCTATTAATTTCTCCTCATCTTCATAGGAAAATTGTATCTGTTGGTAATTTTTATTGGGCATATTTAAACTGTTATGTCCACACAAGAACTACGAGAAATGACAGCAGAATTACGTTCAAACCAAATTATTTTGATAACAACGAACAACGTCGGCGCATTCCGTTAAAACTAGGCCTTAAAAAAACGGACGGCTTTGAAAGTACATTTTTAAATACGGCGAACTTCGCGAACGCATTCCGTCGACGAACTGCGTCGGCGATTTTCGCAACGGAATGCTCTTAAAAACCAAGGCTTAAGCAGTGATAAAAGAGATCGCAGATACGTCAAAGTCGATTTACCGATTCGCGCAGTGATACCCTATTTGAAAGGTCTTGTTCCCTTTAGTATAATAAATAAAAATAATAAAATTGTATCCTTTTTTTTTCATGATTTTTAAAATTGAAATTGCAACAGCAAAGTTTAATAATTTGTAAAGAATGCTTAAAATTAAAAAAAACTAGCACACGGAATTCAGCATACTAAGTTTAAATTTTTATTTTTATTTAAGTTTGGTGTTTCATTTTATTTGTGAATAAAATTATTTAATTTCATTTTAGAGCCTACTGGATAGTTGTGCTTACAGTATCCATGTCATTTCTTACGTATATGATATACATTTTGGCAGTTAAGTTCCTTAGCATGCCAGTTATAGTTTCTTTTTCTACAAAAGAAACTCCTGTATTTGATGTTCCCTTTCCAACAGTAACTATTTGCTCCAAAAATAAAATTTCGAGTCAATATTTTAATTATACAGATATTTTATTTAAAATAAGGAATAATATTTCAATAAGTGAAAAGGAGTAGGTTTATTATATAGGTTTAATTTAAAATTAGTAAAGATATATATTTTTAGATATAATTATAATAACTATGCTGTCTGGGTATGCGAAGAAGAATTAAGAGGAAAAAATTTAAGGAATCAATACTATTCTAAAATACTTACAAATGATATTTACAATTTTTTAAATGAAGTAAGTCAAAATTAAAAATTAAATATTGACTTATAAGAATTTTTAGAGCAAATTAAACTTTTTTCATTATTGCTACTGGATGGGATATTCAATTCCTTGCGAAAAATATTTTGTTCCCATTTTAACAGAAGAAGGAGTTTGTTATTCTCTGAATTTCTTAGATCACTCTGAATTGTTTCAAGACGACGTGTAAGTTTAGTTTAAGGTATTTTTATTAGGAGTGTTCAGTTTTTAAGATTACTGAAAACAAATGGTGATTGAGATGCTGCAAAAATATTTATAGAGAATTAAAATACATTTAAAACAATTACCTATATTTTTAAAATGTTTTTGTCTTTAATGTGAATTTTGGTGTGGTAATCTTATTGAATATAAAAGTGTTCAGACGTTGTCTGTCATGTAGTACCAGGCCAAGATAATTGCCTCTTTTGGCCTGAATTGAATGATATAAATCTTGAAAACATGTGATTTAAACAGGACGGTGTACAAAATTGATAAAATTTTCAGAATGCCTTACTTTGAAAAGAGGTTAGCGTATTCATTTGTTCGCGTTGCCAGCAAACGCAGCCGCTCGCAGTGGTTCTCTAACGAACGATCGTTTCTAGGGGCTTCCCACATAAACAAGAAATTTCCAGCGTTTTCGCAGTTTGCAGTCGTTCTTAGTTTTTCCATGCATTCGTCAGTTGTACACGTATAGGCCGAAATGTCCGGGAAATGACCTATATAAGGATGTGATATTTACATAGTTTTTCCCTACTTTGTTACATAATGATAAAACATTATAATATATTACTATAATAAAATCTATATATAAGTTACGACGACCACCTACACAGGAATTGTGCAATGCAAGCACCAGATAAGAACCCCTTATTTCTTAAGTTTAATTTTATATTCATTCTTCTCTTAGATTCTTAATTGTAACGATCATTTCATTTTCTTAAATTTTTGTATTTTATAAATTAAATAAATTTTTTAAAAATACAAGTGTGTGTTCGTGAAACGTAACTGGCGCAGTCGGTAGGATTTGTCGAAGCGTTATAAAAAAAATCGCGTGTTCTTTTAAGGACTTTATCGGCAAATCTGTGAACTTTATTAAAAAAACATTAAAAACTCTAAAGAAAACTCTAAGTGTGTTACAACAGTGATTCAGGAGTGCGAGCTTGTGGACGACACCCAATTTCGTCAAATTGGCTGGACACTGGAATCAAGAGAGGAATCATAGGGCTTCTTTTTCGATAAATCGAAGTCGCAAGTTTCTGAAGACATCGAGGACAAAAATCGCCAGAGATGATTCAGCAACTCATATTGTAAGTCGAAGATATATAATTATTTTATTTTATTGTAACAGCCATAATTTGCTCAAGGCATTGCTAAGGGTTGTTTACTGATTCTATTTTCCTTAAAATAAAAATATAATTATTTAAAGTAAATACTTACCTTTATAAAATAAATTTTTAGAGTAGCTTAGTAATAAAATAAGTTCATCATAGATAATTTAATCGAAAACTTTAATAGATTAAATATCGAAATGGCAAACCCGCCAGCATTCGAAACACAGCATCTTAAAGCTGTTCCCGAATTTGATGGGGAAACTCACGCTTTAAGTCGCTACATTAATAGTTGCGAACTTCTAATATCCAATTTTTACAATAACGCTAACATTAATTGTTACCAAAATAAATTACTCTTAAGTTGCCTTACAGAAAAACTTAAAGGTAACGCTAGACTTGTAGTGGAAACCCAGCCATGTGAAACATGGTTACAATTAAAAGATATCTTGGTTAGGAATTTTTCAGACGTTAGAAATGAAGAAAACCTAATCATAGATCTAACCAATATGAGACAGAAGTCGAATGAATCGGCACAGCTCTTTTACGAGCGTTGTTTGGCACAACTTGCCTCCATGAACAACAGGGCCACGCTTCACGAGATCCCTGCCGTTCGTCAAATTAAAATTACCCAATATACAAGTCTAACGTTAAGTATCTTTTTAAACGGATTATTGGAACCCTTAAGGACCAATATTCTAAACATGAGGCCTGCCACTTTGGTAGATGCCATCCAATTTATCAGAGAAAGAGAAAATAACAATACAATATTTAATAGACATAGAAACTTCCCCAATAATAATAATAATAAACAAAATAATTCCAATAAAAGACAACATGTTGCTCAACCACAATATTTTAATAATACACCTTTCAATAATAATAACAACTATAATTCACAATTTAGAAACTTGTCCAACAATAATAATAATTACCAACCCCATAGATTCCAACAAAATCAACAATTTTCTAGGCCCCAAAATCAGAAACCCGATGAAACAAATGTTTTTGCCACAAAACCATTAGTTCAACCACCTAAACCTACCCCTATGAGCATCAGTACACGCAACACCTTTAATCAGTCCAGCAGAAATACAAATAATAGACATTTTAATAATAATTATAGACAAAACAACCGAAATTGGACCGCAGAAGAACTCTTTACTTGTGAAAATCAAGATCAACCCCAAAATGATGACAATTATACAGACATTGACGACTACCAAATTGACTCCTCCGACTATGACCAATTTTTAGAACTCCCTACGGATTTTCCCGATCCGACGGAATCAGAAAACCAAACGTAATAGAATTTCATAATGTTAATCACGTTAAATTACCCTTCATAATTATCCCAGATTTAAATATTAAATATTAATCGATTCAGGCTCATCAAACTCCTTTTTTAAACCTTCCTTGGCATCAAAATATTTTTCAAAATTCATAAAAAAGGACCCTATTGTTATAACTTCAATACACCAAAATAATACTATTCCCCATTCTATTAAAATTCCTGCTTTTACCATATTTGATGTTCGCTACCCTTTAGATTTAAAATTTCACCTATTAGAATTTCATACTTATTTTGATGGAATTATAGGACTAGATTCTTTAATTCTATTAAAAGCAAAACTAAATTTAGTAACTTCACTTCTTGAAACCCCCTTTGTTTCAATTGCCATTAAGTATATGCGTTCTAGGAAACCACCTATTTGTTCGATCACAATACCCCCTAGAGTCAAAACGATTGTAAAAATTCCGGTATCCATATCAAATCATGATATAATCATTCCGTACCAAAAACTTAACGGGTGCGAAATACCCGAATCTCTCACAATATCTAATGATAACTTTGCGTTAACTTCAATAATTAACCCAACTGAAACTCCAGTAGTTATAACTTTTACCGATCCAATTAAAGTTTTAAAATATGACGATAAAAATACTTTTGAATGTTTTAACATTGAATATAACTTAGTACAAAATAAGAAGAATGTTAAAAAACCTAAATTTGATTTTTCCTTGTTAAGAAAAGAACATTTAAATCCGGAAGAACATAATGCCTTATTAAATTTAATAAAAGATTACTCAGACACATTTTACACTGACGGACAAAACTTGGCATTTACGAATCAAATTAAACACTCTATTAAAACCAAAGATGAAACTCCTATGTATACCAAAACATACCTTTATCCGTTTATTCATAAAGCCGAAGTCAAAAAACAAATTAATAAAATGCTCGAACAAAAAATCATACAACCTTCTAATTCCCCCTGGTCCTCCCCCATATGGGTTGTACCAAAAAAATTAGACGCGACCGGACAACAAAAGTGGCGAGTAGTCATTGACTATCGCAAACTTAATGACAAGACTATAGACGACAAATACCCCCTTCCTAATATAACTGACATTTTGGACAAATTAGGCAAATCGCAATATTTTACAACACTCGATTTGGCAAGCGGATTTCACCAAATCGAAATTGACGTTAGAGACCGACAAAAAACTGCCTTCAGCGTTGAAAATGGGCACTACGAGTTCTTAAGAATGCCATTCGGACTAAAAAACGCGCCCGCAACCTTTCAAAGGGTGATGGACAACGTTTTACGAGGACTTCAAGATGAAACATGCCTTGTATACTTAGACGACATTATAATATACTCCACATCCCTTCAGGAACACATTTGTAAATTAAAGAAAGTTTTTGATAGACTCCGTACAACAAATTTCAAAATTCAACTTGACAAATCCGAATTTTTAAAAAAAGAAACTGCATATTTAGGACATGTCATAAGTCGTGACGGCCTTAAGCCCAATCCGGACAAAATTAAAGCGATAACTAAATTCCCTATACCCAAAACAACTAGAGATATAAAATCATTTCTTGGACTTCTTGGTTATTACCGTAAATTTATTAAGGATTTTGCTCGACTAACAAAACCCTTGACTAATTGCTTGAAAAAAAATAGTAAAATTATACATAATCAAGAATTCATTAACTGTTTTGAAACATGCAAAAAAATCTTGACTAACGACCCAATATTACAATACCCTGACTTTAACAAACCATTTAATCTCACTACCGACGCAAGTAATGTCGCCATAGGCGCAGTGCTTTCCCAAGGTACCGTCCCTAATGACTTACCTGTAGCATATGCTTCAAGAACCCTTAACGAATCCGAAAAAAATTACAGTACGATAGAAAAGGAACTTTTGGCTGTAGTCTGGGCTAGTAAATACTTTAGACCATACCTATACGGGCGTAAATTCACAATATATACTGACCACCGACCTTTAGAGTGGCTGTTTTCATTAAAAGAACCAAATTCTAAATTAGTAAGATGGAGGTTAAAGCTTGAAGAATATGACTATAACATAACTTATAAAAAAGGAAAACTAAATCAAAATGCTGACTGTTTATCCCGTGTTGAAATTCATACTAAAGACACTTTGACTAATAATAAAACCCTTTTAGAATTAGATATTGAAGCTAAATTACTTAACATTTATACACAAGAACATCGGGATCAAATACAAAAAATTTATACTTTAATATACGAAAAAACATTACAAGATAAATCAAAAATAATTACCAAAGCCAATGAAAACCGCGAAATATTCCTCCCAGAAATTAATGACGAAATTTTTATTAAAACTAAACAAAGAATTGGCAAAATACAAAATAAGTACAACCCTCAAACCGTAACGAATGTAAATCCCGACACTAAAACCTTTCAGACCAATTAAAGAGAGAAAAAACATGTTAGTGCAATTCGACGTCCCCCCGTAAATATGAAAACTAATCCTAATACATTGTTACAGACTGACCCTGACACTGAACCTCAGCCTACGACAAGTAAAGACGCAAGAGACCTTGATTAAACCTTTAGATAACAATCCCGGCCTACTCCCATTTTTAATTGGAGATTCATTTATAATCAATTTTTATCAAAAAATCATATTTTTCAAAGACCTACAACCACTTAAAGATGAAATAAAATGGATTAATAAACAATACGCAAACTTAAAACAAAATTTAGATTACTTTAAAAACTCTAGTTTCGATTCAGAACTACATAATTATGAAAAACTGCTTGAACATTCTCTAGTTGAATTAAATACAAGATTTTATACCTTAATACCAGAAAGTAAAATTAAGCGAGGATTAGTTAACGGTGTTGGATCAATTTTTAAAGCTATTACTGGAAACCTCGACGCCGAAGACGGCCTCAGATATGATGAAATTATTAGAAACTTACAACTTAATCAAAATAATATTAAAACAAAATTTAACCAACAAATATCCTTATCTAAAAGATTAGTGGAAAAATTTAATAACACAATATCTTCGGTTAAATCAAACCAAGCTCTCCTCGAGAATAAAATTAACAGCTTAATTTATTACGATGCTACTATTCAAAATTATAACTCTATTAAATTTCTTTTTAATCACCTACAGAATAGTATAATTAATATTAAATTTATTTTATTTGAAATTGAAGACTCTATAACATTTTCCAAATTACAAACACTTCATCCCTCGATTATTCAACCATCAGATTTATTAAAAGAACTTAGACTTCTCGACAAAAATATAAAATTACCCTTTGAACCGGAAAACAACAATATTTTAGAATATGAAAAAATTATTAGGGTTAAATCTTACATTTCTAAATTGAAATTAATTTATATCTTGGAAATACCTGTTGTTAACGAAAATAGATTCAGTATTTATCCCCTTTATTCAGTGCCCAAGCGGATTAATGGCACTTACATGACTATTATCCCTGCAAAGAAATTTTTGTTAAAATCCTTTAATTCATATATCTTCGACACTAAACTAAACTGTATATTTGTTAAAAATCTGTATCTCTGCGATTATACACCGGAAGACCAACATTTTAGCGAAACTTGCGAAACGAAAATCTTAGAACTTGCCCTATCAGAGAAATGTTCGTTTACTCCAATAAAACTTCACAAATCCATTCTGCAACAAGTAGACAATACCAACTTTTGGATTATAATACCAAACGAAGAAGCTAGATATTACCAGAATTGTTCAGGCCGATTATCATCATCAATCTTAATACAACCGACGTTGATTTATCCTTCAAACTGCTCAATTAAAATAGACGATAAACCAATTTCATCCACCATTTTTGAGAAAGAATTAAAGCAACCCGTTATGCTGAACTTTAAGGAAACCATAAAACCCAATACTTCGGAATATTTAATAAATACATCAGAACTGGAAAACATACAACTAGACGAATTACCCAACATTAAGAAAGATTTAGAAAACGCCGATCTAGAGTTATTTGAAGTACAGCTCCATAGACACCCTGTGTGGACATTTTTACCATATCCAATATTTATCATTGCCATAGCAACTTTAATTTGGAAATACAAAAAACTACCTATACCATTTCGAAAGAAGGCAGCAATACCACACCATGAAGAAACAAGTTTAGGACCCTGTGACCCTAAACTTTGCATTTAGAAGGGAGGAGTTACGACGACCACCTACACAGGAATTGTGCAATGCAAGCACCAGATAAGAACCCCTTATTTCTTAAGTTTAATTTTATATTCATTCTTCTCTTAGATTCTTAATTGTAACGATCATTTCATTTTCTTAAATTTTTGTATTTTATAAATTAAAAAAAAAAATACAAGTGTGTGTTCGTGAAACGTAACTTATATAAAAATAAATCGCCGTGCGTTAGTCCTGCAAAAACTCGAAAATGGCTCGACCGATTTAAATAATATGTGTTTTGTTTTGTTCGCCTCAATACAGGGGCGATTTAAATAAAAAATACATTAGGTAAACCCAAAAACAACAGCCGGAAAATCAAATAAATTGAAATTCGTACAGCTTTGGATTAATTTGAATAGATGGTGTTCATAGCTATAAAAATCACATACTTCACACATATATAAATTATTTCTAACTGAATCTCAGTGGGGTTAAAGTAGGGGAAATCTCACACGGTAGCGGACATTTAGGCGCAAGCGTCAGCTGCATTGCGGTTTAAAAAAAAATAACATTTAAGAAGTATAATCAATACTTTTTAATAAATTGTATATAAATTGTATGAAAAAACATTTAAAAATAATAAACACACAAAATGACGATATTTTAGATTTTATAATGGTATATTAATAAAAGCAAGAATTTGGCAACATCGTATTTTGATCACGATTATCGTATCATAGCCAGAAGGTTTTTATGATAGACATATAAATATGTGGATGGTTTTTATAATTATCAATTTTGTTTGTTTTCTCTTGTATACAATTGTTTTGGAATTGTTTTTTTCCATTGTTTTTACGAGATTTTTAGTGGGCTTTACATAATATGCATATTATGCCACTTTTTGCTTTTTATAAAGCCAAATCACAGAAATTTTTGTAAGCTTAAGGCTATGTAAGCAAATGATTTAGAAAAATTTAATATACCTAAATTCTATTTCTTTGACAATTCGTGGACGTATTAATTTCTCTATCTTATGTTTTGTGATGTCTATAGTATGATAAGTATCATATATTTTAAATCCCCCACTGATGAACTGACTATGCGCATAAAGCAAAATGGCACACCAAAACAACAAATTCGCCCTCAGAAACGGGAACAAGGTCATCTATATAAAATTTAGGCAATAAGCGCATATACATATAACTTATAGGTATATGAATAAGCGGTATACCGCATATATATATGTGTGGAAGTATGTGATAAAAATGAATCGCCGTGTGTTAGTCCTGCAAAAACTCGAAAATGGCTTAACCTATTTAAATATATTGTTTTGTTTTGTTCGCCTTAATACAGGGGTAATTTAAATAAAAAATACTTTAGGAAAAAACCGAAAGAAACAGCCGGAAAATCAAAAAAATCGAAATTCGTACAGCTTTAGAATAATTTAAATAGATGCGTAGCTACGCTTCAAATTAGCTTCTTCACGTGCAAACCGCAATGATCAGTCGCTCGCTGGTCATCGAAGACCAGCGAGCGACGGATAATGGAAATAGTCGTTGGAGATCGACTGAAAATGAACGACAAAACTTAAACCGTACACGATCTCAATGAGCTGGAGTTAAAAGGTTGAAAAGGATGGATAATTATTAATTAATCGCTTTAAAAAGAATTTTAGGTGAAACGAAGTTCACCGGGTCATCTAGTAGATGTATAAAAATGTTTAATTATAATATTAGTTAATAAAACGAGTAAAAAATACTCATATTATGTAGGCTAACTGCTATCGACAAGAAACTGCGTCAACAGTGGCTGATTCAAGCTAGAATTTTAGCTTGTAATTTATTTTTTATACGCCCAAAACCAATGGAGCGCATTCGTACCCATTTTCTTCGTACAAGCTTACCTTGCCCTCGCTGCAAATGATCTCCTACACCTGACAAAAGTTTGTCGGCAACTCGAACGAATGGTAACGTTTCTCAGGTCTCGGACCTATTTTTTTGAAGATACGTTTAGTCGAATAATTATAATTAATAGTAACATACTACGGTACCTTGGAATGACAAGGTTCTAAGGTACCGACTAATAAAAATTAACAATTGAACAACAGCATCATTTAAAGTTTAATTTTAAATCATTGTAAAAGTAAAGCCCGATTCATAAACCAGGAATATACCAAATTTTTAACCCATTTAACACATAGCGTTTTTTAGAGCTTTAAATTTATTTTCGCAACTTCTCACATATCATTTGTTTCTGGTCGGACAACCTTAATGAAAAACTCTTTACTAAAAAATATTAGCATAACTAAATTTGAGATACTCAGATCCTAGGTTTTATCAAGTCGGAGTTAAAAGTACATGGAACGTTGAAGATGGCTATCCAGACAAAAAATTTAAAAACCATTATCCTATAAGAGCATTGCTTACAGGCGTAGGTAAATCTTTGTCGGTTATTTTATACTCAAGAAAAAGCAATATTGATGAGAAATGCGCTTCAGACGATAGTGGAGGATTTTTTGTAAGTACCTACTACAATTTTTTACAGGGTGGCGCAATAGATACCAAGACAGCACATAATATTTCTGAAACTTTTTTTAAATGTTTCTTTGCAACAAATGTAATATTTCAGGAAATGTTGCAAATAATGCATTAATGGCAAAATGTCCGCCTCCCAGAAATATTTCTGAAATAACTAAAAGAAACATAGAAAAAACACAAAATTGTAATAAAACTGTAATATTGCAGGAAAATATTTAAATATAGGTACCTATATATAAAATATAAAAAAATAAACTACTCTTTAAAAGCAGTCCAGTTAGACATAAAATAAAAAATCAATTCTTCTAATGTGTTCTAAATTCTTCAAAATGTTCAGGTTTCGGTGTTTTAATTTATTTTTTGAAAAGAAAAATTGTAGTACAAAATTGTCAATAGTTCCAAAGTAAAGTAGTTTCTAAGAAAAATCAGACTGCTGATTGCTATACAGGGTGTCGCGAAAATGACGGTCCAACGCCATGGCGCGCCATATCACACTACAGGGAAAGTTATTTTAAGCATAAAAAAATTACAAAACTTTTTTTATGCAAGTAGTTTTTGAGTTATTAAGCAATAAAGATTAAAAACCTCGACAACGCTTTGTATTTTCTAAGCAGATTTAAGAAACGCCTAAAAAAGGTTGTTATAGGCACAAAATATACTACGCATATACATGTCAACTGTCATACATATTGTTTAAATTGACTTACATTTAATATTTCGTTAATAGAGTAATTGCATCAAAAATGAAAATCCCTAAAAACTTTTGTAATGTAATCTAGAGGTAAAAACACATTGCGAAAATACTCTTTTATATTCCAAAAGTTCAACCCGGCCCCAAAATATCAAATTGAAAAAAGGTACTTTTCAAACGTTTCCGAACTTCCGCCATATTGCATGACGTCATAAACCTACACCAGTGTCAGAAATCAAGATGTCAACAAATAATAAACACCGATAAAGTTTATGTTTAACATGGAAAACGCGAAACCAAAAATTTGTTGTAAATATTGCTTTGTGCCTTGTTGTACAAATACAACCTGGAAAACTCCTGGGAAAAGGTTTATCACCGTGCCAAAAGGGAAAATAAGGATAAAGTGGATTAAAATAGCTCGGCGCGATATCAATTGACGATGTTTTAAAACATCGTCACCGCAGTCAACATTTTATTGCTGCGAGGATCATTTTAATGTAAGTAAAATATAATGTCGTTTACTAGGTATATGGTTGGCATAGGTATGTTAAATAATAATAAACTCAAGAAAATACAGCTGAGCCGTAACGGCTCTCAGTGTAGGATCATAAACTTTGCTTTTGATAATTGAAGGGACAACTTTCCCAGGAGTTTTCCAGGTTGTATTTGTACAACCAATTTTTGTTTTCGCGTTTTCCATGTTAAACATAAACTTTATCGGTGTTTATTATTTGTTGACATCTTGATTTCTGACACTGGTGTAGGTTTATGACGTCATGCAATATGGCAGGAGTTCGGGAACGTTTGAAAAGTACCTTTTTTCAATTTGATATTTTGGGGCCGCACAGTGTTTCAATTCTCGAAATTTTCGGCAAAATATCAAGGAGTAGTCGGATTCTCCTAAAAATCCGTATATAGAAGTTTTTAGGGTCGCTGATAACGAATCTGGAATCAGAATTTCAAAATTCAAAATGGTAGATCCAAAATGGCGGACATATTTGTCAAAAAATTGACGGAATAAATTGAAAATCACCACACAGGGTTTTTGGGGTCGCTGATAACGAATCTGGAATCAGAATTCCAAAATTCAAAATGGTAGATTCAAAATGGCGGACATATTTGTAAAAAAATTAACGGAATTAATTGAAAATCACCATACAGGGGTTTTTGTGGTCGCTGATAATGAATCTGAAATCAGAATTCCAAAACTCAAAATGGTGGACCTCAAATGGCAGACATTTTAATCAAATATTTTCGAAATTAATTAAAAACCCGTAAGAGGTTCTTTTTAAAATGTAATAAAACATCTTTTTATAAATAAGCTTAATTTAGTTTATTATAATTACATTTATATGATATTATTTAATACCTACATATATATTAAACAATCTCCGTCACTGGATTCGCTCGTTGTATCATTAGTAGAGCATGGGAAACCATCAGAAGATAGCAAAAGTTTTTTCGGAGCAAAAGTCAGAAATATACGGATCGGAAGATGCCATAAGCCAATGGAAAACATTTTCCATCGTTTTCTCCCGAGAAACTTTCAAAATTTATTTATAAAATTTAAATATAACAGATTTTATATAGTATTTTTAATTTGTATTATTTCTTTTACTTAATATTTTAGCAAAGATTTCTTAATTCGCTAAAAAATTGTCAACACAAATAACCACAATTCAAATTTGACATTAACACACTACAATGCGCATGCGGAGTGGTTTTAATGCACCTACAAGAGGTGGGTTAAATATGTAAAATCGGTGTTAAATATCTTAGTAGTCACGAACGATTAATGCAAGTGAAACTCTAGACACCGTAATAAACGTTTTGAGTTAAATCCGAGTGAATCGAGTAAACGTCATGAACGCAACCCAGAATTAAAAAAAAATCTTATACTTTTTAAAGCAAAAACAAAGATACGCGCTCGACATAGGCTTTAAATCACGAGGTTTTTTACCACAACCGTGCATGAGCGCCCAAGAACATGTAGTTTTAAAGAGCTGGGGGCAATTTGAGGCAGCTAATTTATTGATGGCTTGATAGACAAAACTCTAAGCTATTCAACGGATCTTAAATTGATGCCTTACAATTCATTACAATTTTTGTAGCTCCATTGTTCTAAAAGCTCGATTCAAAGTTTGCGATTTTAACAGACCGATCTTGTCGGTTACAATAACCCGTTGTACAAGCAAAATCTACGAAAAACAAATACATATCTGAATTTTAGATACCTTGAAGATCACCCTTCATCAAACCGCATAACAATCGGACACACCAAACACAAGTTATTCACTTTTAAACAATAAACAATTTTACGCAGTGATGGCGTGTAAAGTACCTTCAACTGAAAGCGTCAAGTTTAAACTGATGTACAAGACAAAATATACACTGAGAGAAAAAGTGTAGTTTATAGTTAACAAATCTTTATTTGGATAGCATTTATTTACAATAAATAAAGTAAATTTATTGTTAATCAACCTTTTTAACTATTAATAATCTGCGTAATATATTTTATTTAGCAGAAACAAATATTTTGTTTGTTGCCCATATGTTTATTATTAATAATGCAAATTTGGGAATAATAAATACCTATTTGCTTAGGCGATCTTTAAAAGTTATTTATTATAAATTTCGAATTTATTTTTAATTAGGAATCAATATTAACAATGAATAAATATTTATTTCTTGTTTACTGTACTCAAACCAAAACAGCATAGACGTTTCTCGAATAGTGCATGGTGTACCGCGTGCGTATGGTGTACCACTTGCCTTGCCAAGTTTACTGATTCTGTTCTGTGTACTGTTAAGTTTAGTGATTCTGTTCTTTGCACTGTTATTTATCTATGCATTAGTGTTTCGTTTGCAATCTTTTCGTAATAGCATTAATTTAAATTGTACCTATAGTGCCAGTGTAAAATACCGGCTCTTTCCTGTGTACCGGCTAGTGTATCTCTGCGATTATTAAAAAATCCAAACATGCATGGAAGATCTGCAAACCATGGACGAGCTATGCAATTTTTTAGGAAGCAATGGATTCAACGACTTGCTGGATACATTTATAGTGAATTAAAGTATAGGGTTTACATATGAAGTTTTATGTCTTCTAAATATTTTAGTATTTATTATAAACAAGCATTTATTTATCACAAATAAAACACATTTATTATAAATTAATCTTTATTTATTATAAACAAGCATTTATTTATTAACAAAAAAACATATTTATTATTAATTTTTCTTTATTTTTTAATAAAAAGATTTATTTAAACAATTTTAATCAATGCGTGGTTTGTCCTAAATAAATGTTCATTCCGCCATAATCGAATAAAGCATTTATTAGTTATTGATAAATCTAGTTAATTGTTAATAAACTGTTCTCTCAGTGTACGTATTTTATATAATTTTTTTCAATACAGAATGGGGACAGGTATTAACTACCCATCTAACTCAAAATTTACCTGAAAAAAAATGTCAATTTTGAGGTTTTGCCGATATTTTCCAGAATTGAAACACTGTGGGCCGGGTTGAACTTTTGAAATATAAAAAAATATTTTCGCAATGTGTTTTTACCTCTAGATTACATTAAAAAGGTTTTTAGGGATTTTCATTTTTGATGCAATTACTCTATTCGTACAAACACGATCACAAACGAACAGATGCAAACAAACACTCAGAGATAAAGAAAAACACTATGGCTGCCAGCTCCAGCTGTTCCAAAGAAGGCTACGACCAGGGTGGCCACCCTGGCTACGACCATTACGCACTGCATTTTTGCGACTTCTCGCACTTTTAACACTTTATTGCGCCTACTTTTTTGAGGAAGTCGCACTGCGTTACTATTGGGTTACTTTTTAAATTAAACTTTTGCAAAAATCGTAGATAATCTCATTTCTATATTCTGTGATATCATTATTATAGGATAAAGTACTATAAAGTAGTGTTTTGTACCCTACATTGTTGTTTTTTTATCGGTTGGTGGATATAGAATATGTTGCGCGCAAATGGTGGTAAATGGTTTCCAAACTTTTATGCGACTCTTTTGATCGTCCGTGCGCCAGACTGAAAAAAAAATCTGACAACAATGCAACGCCGCTTGATGTTTTTCCTATGGCTTGACCCTAGACAAAGTCTAGGGGCTTGACTATGGTCTACGGTGACTTGCTCGCACATAGACTCTAAATACATATGACATGTCTGCATATACGTATTTATATTTATACATATACTATATAGTATAATAAATTATATAATATAATAAACAATGCTTTTATTTTGAGTAAAACAGA